TTTTTTTTAAAATTGATAACCACCACCAGTAAATACACCCTTGCAGCCAGTTCAATATTTATGTGCAAAGCCTATTAATGGCAATGATAACCATCAAAAGTGTGGGGGAGGTATATGGTGAGGACGAAGGGGTTAAATCAAAATGGAGCTAGAAGGGGAAATAAAGCACTGTATCGGCTCTCTCTAAAGGCATCGAAAGCGATGATGGACACGGTGTGCTCCCTCTCCTAGGACAGCCGGGCAGAGGTGTAATGGTGGAAGAGCGACAGAGACTTGGCAGAGATGACCCCCTCCATGGCCCGCTGCCATGTTTATTGCCAGCCTGGCCAGGCCCAGGAGCAGATCCACAATGAAGCCCTTTGATTTGCCCACACTCCTCCAAAGATCAGGAACGTACGGCTGAAGTACAGCGAAAGACTTTCTAAGTAACTAAAAACGCGGTGCAATTGCCCACGATCTATACCTGCACCGTCCACAGAATCCACAGCGCCGCTAAATAAACAATTCGGTTTCGGGGTCTGTGAGCCACTGCAGCCTGTGGTTGTAAGGGATTGCTACTCAAAGAGACTTTTAAAATCTGAGGCAACCAGCCTCATTAGCATAGTCAAATACTTAATAGGTGGCCTCTTGAGAGTTTGAACGGGAAGCGGGTAGGTTGTGATTTAGTTTCAGAACATTCCCTATGCCCTCCACTGCCGACTTGAACCTTACCAGCCCATTAAAGAACCGTCCTCCCCCAACCCCACATATACCGTGGGGCTGGACTCAGAGGAAACAATCCACAGGTTCATTGGTGACGCAGAATAGGAGTTTGACCACAGTCCTCAGCTTTCATTGGCCAGTCCCGCTGATGCCAACCCATAAATCACAGGGATTTTTAAAAAAAATAGAATCAATTCAATTCCCTCATTTTACTGTGTTCCAACTCACAACATCTGGATAGCCAAACTAATTTTTTTTATTTTTTTATTCATTCACGGGTCTGGAGTCACATGTAGACCAGACCAGGTAAGGATGGCAGTTTCCTTCCCTAACACAAATTAACAACTCAGGTGGGTTTTTCTGACAATCGGCAATGGATTCATGATCATCATTAGACTCTCAATTCCAGACTTTTTTTTTTAAAAACCAAATTCAAATCCACTATCTTCCACGGCAGGATTTGAACCTGGGTCCCCAGAACATGACCTGGGTCTCTGGTTTAACACTCCAATGATAATGCGACTAGGCCATCGCCTCACCAAGAAACACCAGGGAAGTTATACTCTCTTATTAAACCAACCGCTACATCCCACCATTGGCAAATTGACCTTAGCCCCTCAACTGAATTGGTGACTCACCTCTAGCCTACATCTGAAAAGACCCAACTAAACTACAAAGGCCAAATCTGGGAAGCTGCTGGCTAAGATTAGGGTTAGGCTTGTATCCTCTGGAATTTCAAATAATCAGAAATGACTCAATGGAACCATGTAAGATCCTGAGGGAACTTGACCAGGTGGATGTCGAAAGGAGATTTCCTCTCTGGAAGAATCTTGGACTAGGAATATAGTTTAAAAATCCTTTATTCCTTCATGGCACGAGGGCATTGCTAGCCAGGCAGCATTTATTGCCTATCCCTAATTGCCCACAGGGCTGTTAAGAGTCAACTACATTGCTGTGGGTCTGGAGTCACATGTAGGCCAGACCAGGTAAGGATGGCAGTTTCCTTCCCTAAAGGACATTCGTGAACAAGATGGGTTTTTCCGGCAATCGACAATGGATTCACGGTCATTGTTAGATTCTTAATTCCAGATATTTATTAAATTCAAATTTCACCCTCTGCCATGGGGTAACCAGCTCCCTAGCCAGGCACCCACTCTCCCCCTCCTCCTCCCTCCTATGAGGGGTTTTGGCTTTCTCCCAAGCTATTGTAGTAAAACTGTGTGCAGCCATAATCGTTGAGCATGAAGCATCTTATTGTTAACACTCTCACCCCTGTTCTCAGTGACAGTGCTTTGCTGATAACAAGGAAGATCCATAGTCCTTGCACTATCAGAGTCAAGACATTTGTCCCAAATTACTTGTTGGATTTGTAGAATGATAGAATCCCTACAGTGCGGCATTAGGCCTTTTGGCCCATTGAGTCCACACCGACCCTCAGGAGAGCATCCCACCCAGGCCCACATCCTTATCAGTGCATCCACTGTAGCCAACCCACCCAAACTATACGTCCCTGGATACTACGGGCAATTTTTCATGGCCAATCCACCCAACCTGCACATCTTTGGACTGTGGGATGAAACTGGAGCACCCGGAGGAAACCTACGCAGACACAGAGAACGTGCAAACACCACACAGACAGTCACCCGAGGCTGGAATTGAACCTGGGTCCCTGGCTCTGTGAGGCAGCAGTGCTAACCACTGAGTGACTATCTTATATTTATATCTTGAGCCTTGCTCACAAGCGTATACATCTTCCCTACGCCTATCTTATCAAACTCATCCATAATTTAAAAGATCCTAATTAAGTCATCCCT